CTGATGATTCTGTAATTTTGATTCATGTAATTGCTAAGTCCCATGCGGCGAATTCGGCACTATGACATGATCAGGTAGGGCCCAATCATAATGCAGGGAGATCAAAGACTTGGATTGAAAAAAAAAAAATGATATACGAGTCTCCCCAAAATAATTAGCCCTTTACTTAAGCCACTAGCACATGCGTTCGAAGATTCCTAGTTCTTATACAAGTTGGCACGCATAAAATACGGATATATATATATATATATATATAAATGTGTGTGTGTGTGTGTTTTACAAAATGCAAATTCTTTGTCCTCTACAAATTCAGTTCAGCCATTTTGAAGAGTACTCCAACTATTCTTTGTCCCCAAAAAGAAGAGTAAAAGATATATGGTCCGTGTGGTTTACAGATTTGAACAAAAAAATGTTAGTAAAAATTTAAGTTTGTTTATTTTTTTTTAAGAACAAATTTATTCAGATAATATTGACAAATATCTCTTAAAAGTATATGAGTCATAATTTTTACCTTTTATTCTTAATTCATAATCTTTTTAGTTAAATAATTATACTAATAAAAGGGTATTTATCAAAAGTAATAGGTAGAGGTTCAGACTCATCCACTCTAAGAGTAAATTCTTCAATTTTTCAATTTATTCCCATTTTTGTGCGACGGATGTAGGAAAAAAAAAATAGCCAAAATTTTTTTATTTAAACCCATAAAATAGAATTTTTCCGTTAGGACCTGTCTTATTTAACTACTTGTTATTATTGTTTTAATTATTGGATTGCGTTTTTTAATGATTAGATTTGTGATTTGTAAAATTTTGTGTAGTGCGTTGTAATTTTTAACATGAACACACACATATTGAATCATTGAATTTACCTTAATCCAACAATAAAATAACAATAACTATTATAGGTCTTATTTGTGAAGTTCTCCCATAAAATAAGAGCATAATAATATTCTGCGTCCCTAGAAAAAATCGTTTTCCTCTGTATAACGTGCAAAACAAGTTAGTATTTTATTATTATTATTATTATTATTTCATTACAAAAAAGAGATGATAGATCCAATTGCTCATTTACTTTACAAAACGTTGAGAGAGCTTTTAGGCTGAATTTATAGTTATCATAGGAGATGCCCTTGTTAAAATAATAATAATAATTGGCAAGACATGCACAATACTTCACAAACTTCTAATCAGCCAAGATAATTGTAAGTTGGCTAGTCTATGTGACGTATAATATTGGATAAAGAAACCCTAACGATTGTGATTTGAAAGGTATTGTCCAAAGATATACAATCCAAGTTCAAGTAATCCTACCCTATATGCCCTACTCTAGTGTACCTCTTCAAATATATATTATAAACTAAAACACAATTTGTTGTCTTGGCAAATCTCATGCTTAATAATAATGATGATGATAAAAATAATAATAATAATGATGATGATGATGATGATAATAATAATAATAATATAATAAAGCTTTTGTTTAATTTAATTCGTGTCATGAGTCTAAGACATTAATGATCAACAAAATCATGTGCTTGATATATTTCTTATTATAAGCCTTTAAAGCGGTCATTAAAGTAACTCCGAGAAATATATGTGCTTAATTAATGTTGTAAGTATATATAGCTAGCCCAGAATGTGCTTTTTTTTAGCAAATAAATATTGGTGACGAGAGGTTGTCTAGTCCAAAATCACGAGTACAGCCAAAAATATCAACATCAAAATGCATGCTTATGTGCAGCTAATTACCAAAAGCATTAGTGATTAATACAGCATTATCTGAAAATCATGCTCGGTATTGACTATTGATTATAGTTGGTTGTGTTTGTCTAAACCATATCCCGTTGAAATGACTATTTTTAGTAAATGAAATCCCAATTATAACAGCAATGAAACAAAGATTACACCGTGATTGAAATATATACTCTTCGACACGTCAAGCATACGTGAAACAAGTTTGGCTTTTTAATATCAAAGTGGTTCTATTGAGCAAATAGTGTCAAGTATTAGATGCCCTTAAACATTTTCTTTTCTTTTATCTTTCAAGGCATGAGCATGGAGTTTTCTACAACGGAATACTCTTTCATAGTGCACAACGTTAAATTTACTCAAAATTAAAGTGAAATGAAAACGTGTTGTATAGAATATGATTAGATCCAACAATTTAAACTGTTAAAAAAAAAAAGCACTATCCAAAATCTATACATATTATTCCCTTCCAAAACTCTATAAATATCATCATCCCACCTAATTGTTCGCGTCACTTGAGGATATATATATTTAAATAGTTTTAGATGTGGATGATATAAAATCACTTCTTATTAATCATGTTTTTCATATAAAAAAAGAAACTCCTACATATATATCATGTAATTTTGTTATTGTCTTATTTTTAATAAATTACTACCCTATGAATACACTTTTGGAAGTAAAATTAAATTTGTACGATTAGTTTCTTATTTTTCGCTTACTTTCTGACTTCTGCTTAAAATACAAGCTATCAAGAGGAGAGGGATCCGTATGAATTTGCTTAGAGTGGGGATTGTACCAGAATTGAATTTATATGGAAGTCATTAAGAATAAGGGATAAAAGAGTACTGGAATTCAGTTCCAAGTCATAAGAAACTTCTGACGTTGGGAGATAATTGAAAGCGACAAAAACTAATGGAAAGTAGAACTCAAATCATCAATGTAGGTATCCCACAATAGTGATATATCATTTTGCGTTTACATTCTTGACGCATAATTTACTAGAATTGCTATAGCGTACAAAATGAAATTGGAAAAAACAACGTGTGTTTGAGGCCGCTTTTTAAAACGGTTTTTACGTATTTCGAGAAGTAAAAAATGAAAATATAAATGAAACGACGTTTGTTTAATAAATATTTTAAAAATGAAAATAGTGAGAATGGTTTTTGTGAATGAATTAGAAAACAGTTGAAAATTATTTTCACTTTTCTGTTTTTATTTTTAGTACTTATCAATAATATTATAATATATTAATTAATAAACACGATTTCACTTTTTTATTATACTCAAAATAATCTCTTAAAAAACTAATTAAACGCAATTTCAGAATCGGTCGCATAATGATTCTCAAAACAATCTCATTTTTACTTTTTATTGAAAATAAAATCATTTTAAAACAAATTCCAAACGCACCTAATCTTTTTTTATTTTTACAAAGAACGACCAACTAATTGTTTTTTTAATAGAGAGAAAGTATCAAAAAGATACAATTCATGGTGGAAAGAAATCCAATTAAATAATGTATTTAATTCTATTTAAATAGCAAGTAAGAATAAATCATGTGATGTTGAAAAGCAACATATAAGATTTATTAACTCCTTAGAAGAAGAAAAAATACATAAGAATCTTAAGATCATGAGGTTGTTGAAGACGTCATTTCGAACCCGCAAAATATAACTTCAATTGTTTTTTTTCCTATTCGAGGAATCCTTCATCAGTGATTGTGTAGTCACAACCACTTATTTTTTTGTAATCTTTTCGATCTTGGTTCCGTAGGAGCAAATCAGAAAGATTGAGAAATATAACCATCAACCATCTGATTTGATTCGTTCTCAATAGCCATGAAATGATCTATGTTAGGGTAATCCTTTTGTTCCTTTTGCATTTAAGATAATGCCTCAATAAACAAGAGAATGGGTCCACTATTTATTGTGTACCTTGTGGACAACGAATGAATTTCTGATAACCATTTTGTTCCCTAATTAAGATATTAACAAGGTTTCATGAATTGGTGAAAGGTTGTAAAACCGTTATATATAAAAGATTTCTCTCTAGTAGTCACCCAAGACCCAGGACATGAGAGTTAAGAGTACTAATTTCGTCCAAATCCTTTCCTGCTTTATTGTTGGACCTTTTGTAGGTTTTTTTGGGAGAAATTTTCAAAAATACTATTAAAAAGATAGTACTATTTTATATTTGTTATTAATTTTAAATTTATCATTTATGTTATTAATATTTCAGTAGGATATCTTTTATATTCTACTAAAATATTTTTTCCGATAGAATACATTTAATATTCTACCAAATTATTTTTTAACGGCATAAATAATAGGATGATGGAAAACAAGAATTATTTTTATATTTTTATATTTTTTATATTTTTTGCATATTATTGATGAGATAATGTTCTACAAGTGCATAGTCTACTCTTATCTTACGTGCCACGGTATTCTTTAAAAACTAACTTGAAATTGAAATTTCGTTTATAAAGTATGAGGATCAAACAACAACTGTTGTTCTCAGCTGACGAAAAAGCAGAAGAGAAAATTATGGGCCAAGGAAGTTAGCCACCCACAAACAGGTCATTAAATTCACGTTTGCCATCAAAGGAATGCGTACTTCATATCAAACTTAGTGGCTTAAGAATATTAGTGGTAATATTAGTGCCATCAAAGGAGCGTAATAAATATATACAAAAAAATTTTGTGTGGATTAGTGGTAAAAGCGCGCTTCTCCAATCGACTACCTCTAAAGTGAAACCATGGATTGAATCACCTATGTTATGGGTGCTTCGATTAACTGATCATAGGAGTCGGTTTTCTACTTTCATTTCTTTTTTTTGGTTTGTTTCGTTAATTGGAGGTGGTCGGTTTTAGTTTTTTATTTTTTTTAATCTTAAATTTGAAATATAGTAAAATCACACAGTAATTAAAAAATATTTTTAAAAATAGTAAAATTACAAAGTAATTATTATAATAAATGTTTATTTTTATACTATATATAGTAAATTATTTCACTAATATTTTAATTTTTCATTATTTATAAAATATTGTAAAATTGTTTCTCTGTATACAAAACATGACTAATGAGTTTTGCTGTGGGTAAAAAAAAAAAAAAAATCCAGAGAAAGTAGTTTTATGGGCTGGGCTGAAAAATAAAAATGACGGCCCAGGTAGTGTCTTCTTCTTCTTCCCCAGGTAAAAGTTAAAACGCCCCGTCTCTTCACTCGTCAAATTGTCAGATACACTTTCTTCGATACTGTCAATTGTCAATCAATTCCCGCCCACATAACCGTTTGAACTCTCTCTCTCTCTCATCGTCTCTCTGCAATTGCGTAAATCGTGGAAAATGGGTTCAGAAACAGGTAAAGAGAGAGAAAATCATCTAATCGCAGAGTCTCAGTATAAATTTCCCGCTTTTCATTTGCTTTAAAAAGTTATGAGTTTTTCAGGTAGAAATTGCGTCGATCTGTGGTCGGAAATTGTTCGTTCCGAACAACAACAACAAAACGATCAAGTTATTTACAGAAGAAGAAAATCCGCCAAAATCCCTCAAGACGCAGTTCCTTCGTACGTTTCAAGCATTTTTATTTGCATATTTGGTTGTGGAAACTTTTCTCATTGTTTTTGTCTTGTTCTTTTCTTATTATTTTCAGAAACCAATTGAGTTCTGGAGGCGAGGGAAATCTGCCTCATCGGGTGAGCTTGGTTGCTCCTGGTCCCAACGAGCGAATCAGTTGGAATCGTTCGCTTTCCACCAGGTTTCATAGTGTGCTTTTTTCTTTTTTTTTAACTTTTTTCAAGTGTCCATTTTTAATCATGGTATTGTTGAGTTTTCTACCAACACACAACGGCAATCACACATTACCAAGCTTACGTATTTATCCTTTTAGGACATTTACGCATACTAGCTTAATTACGATGACACAAGCACTCACCTGTAACCAAGCACTCATATGACTTTTGTCTCTTGAAGCTTCTATGGATAAGGTGCCATAATTCTAGTACTGTCTAGAGCTTTCTAGGGGCGGCGGTGAACTTGAACAAGTATTTGAGGTCTGGGTTTTTTGGTTTGTGCTTTTGTAATGTGAGTTTGGTTAGTTTGTGATTGGTTGGTGTCTTGGTGACACTTTGTCTGGTTCTTGGAGTCATTGTAGTAGTTATGATCGTTAGCTGATGTCTTGAAAGCTGAAATTTTTATCTGCTATTATTAAGTTTCACATTGGAATTTTGTGGTTGACAGAGGAAGGACAAGTATGGCCGTTGGCGCTTGCGTTGATTATCACCAACCTCAAGTTAAGCAGGCTAAAAGAAGGGGAAGACCTCCTGTACCCAAAGTGAGACCTACTTTTTTATACCCTGAATGTTAAGCTTCTCAAAAATATATACTATGACAACTCAACGTTTTACCTCACAAGTAAATTCGTCGTTTAAGTTGTCAAAATCAATACTTGATCACGAAAAGGAATTTAATTTGACACAAACTGAATTAGATCATTGCATCATTGACGGTTGAGAACATTCAAAATGCATGGTATACGTTTTTAGCAAGCTTAAAATGGAGAGTATAAAACAGTGAATAACCCTTTCTTATTTTAAGAGTTGTAGTATTAGTATAACAATAGCGCACACTTAACTGAACTTCCTGCATGTCAACTTTTGAATTGAAATTTTATATTTGGTGCAAACGTGACACTCCCTTTTGTGGCAATCGTCAGAAAAAATGAAAAACAATGCCTATGACTCCATTAAAATTCAAATTTTTAGAGTATTGAGATTATTTCTAGTTGGTATACTTATACGCTGTCTTACATATTGTGGGTTGTTAGGGAAAAGTTGTTAAACCTCTAAGCTTTGATAAGGAGCGAGCGTACTTTGAAGAGGTTGATGCCTTTGAACTAGAAGAAGAGAGCCCCTCACCCAAGAACTATGGCACATGGGTCAGGGCCAACCAAAATGATAGTGTTGCAATTCCCCATTTGTCCTCAAGATTGCAGAAGTGGTTGAAATGCAAGAGGCTAAATCACTCTTGTGGACCCACAAGCACATTGTCCAAGATTCTAGGAACCCCGAGCATGACATTGACACCTATAGGTGGTGATGACTTTGATCCTTTTTGTCTCAAAAGTACTCCTAAAAAGTCATCTATTAAAGTCGGTCTTCCTTTGCATTATGTCGAGAGTACATCAAATGAGATGGAGGATGTGGCTAATGAGAGTTGCGAAGACATAGAATTTGCAGTTAAGAAATTCTCTTTGGCGTCAACATCTCCGTTGCATAGTTATCAGTCCAACCAATTTGCTACATTGTTAGCCGTTTGTGGACAGTCCGTTCCCACAACATTCCAAGACGTGTTTTCTAAGTATTGGTAGGTTCGTTTTTCCTTCTATACTTGCATGTGTGTTTCTATCTGTCTCATCTCATTATATTTCTAAATGCAAGTAAGCTGTGGTATCTCTTATATGCATCTTATTATAATACTTCTTTCATGTTCAATGCTGCTATACTGTAATTTTTAGGTCCTCCACTTTCCTTTGTTCTGCCATTTATTGAACTCCTATCATTTTAGTTTAGAGTAAGATTTTTTCTTGGCTCAAATTGTTCTAGAGTGAGAGTTGCAATAGATAGTTTCAAGCTTTAACTCTCTTTAGTGATCCAGGTTTAAGCAATTATGTGACCGTTCATTAGGTTACATTTCTCATGGTTGGTCTTTTGCTTGTGGAATCTCTCTTTCCGTGCATGTTTGTAGTTGAGTCTGGATTCTGCTTAAGCTGATTAGAAAAACTTTCTTATCCAGTGACCTGCAGAATATAACTAAAATTGGCGAAGGGACTTTCGGAGAAGCTTTCATGGCTGGAAATTATGTCTGCAAAATAGTTCCTATAGATGGGGACTTCCGAGTGAATGGAGAAGTCCAAAAGGTACTCTAATCTGGACCCTTCCTGCTGTGAATTTGTTGAACTAATGAAAAAAATTAGCTATGGATTTACCAAGACTCACTTTCTGGATTTCTCAGGGCATTTGGGAAAGTTCCTCGAATGCTCAGAGAATCTCATTGCTATCTCTGAAAATATTGTTACTATTTACTACTTTTTCTTCTTGAAGTTGAGAAGCTTTGTTTTCTTCTAATTGTGTGACATTGTGGTTGCTATGCTCCAGAGATCGGGAGAATTGCTTGAGGAGGTTGTTCTTTCCCGAACTCTCAATTGTTTAAGAGGGCGCGAGGGAGATGGTCATAATGCGTGCACCACTTTTATTGAAACAGTAGAGTATGCAGTTTGCTTGATATGTTCAAAGTTACATCATTCTGCAATTGTTGGATTTTGTAGAAATGTTATTTAAATTTCCTGGTTAGTTTTCAGTTCGCTTGCCACATTCACATTCTGTAATGGGAAGGGGTCAAGAGCCTCAGTCAGAAGATATGGCTATTGAACACTGTTTGGATTGGCGGCGTGGGTTTGAACAAGTTGACTGACTAGGAGGTGGTAGTGTATATAAATATATAGAGAAATGTACAGGACGAAATCCAGCTGCTAGGCTCATGATAACTGAATGACATTCACATTTCGGATGGATTTCAATATTTTCTGGAAGTTATTACGTTTATTATGTTTTTCATTTTATTTTAATTCTTCTGATTTGGATCTTCTACAGCTTGCAGGTATGTCAAGGTTCCTATGATCCTGCCTTGATAAGAGCTTGGCAAGATTGGGATGAAAAACATAGATCCGAAAATGACCATCCAAAGGAGTTTCCAGACACACAGGTTTCATTTTCTGTATTTGCTTGGTGCTCTTGTTTGTCTTATATTTATTTGCTTGGGTGATCTAATTTGTGATCACTTTTCACTTCCTGAATACACAACACAACGCGCATGTTTGCAAGGAACACTTTAGACACGAGGTGAACATGTTATTATCCTTTGTTTAATTGACTGACAATCTTGCATTCAGTGCTATGTTGTATTTGTCCTAGAACATGGCGGTAGGGATCTCGAAAGCTTTGTACTTCTAAACTTCGATGAGGCGCGGACTTTATTGGTCCAGGTAGTGCAATGCTGCATGTTATTGTTTCATTTTCTAGGAGACCATAAAGCTTTGTTTTGTTATTTATGTAGTAATTGTAATTTTTCTTTCCAGGTTACAGCTGCCCTTGCAGTGGCTGAAGCTGCGTACGAATTTGAACATCGTGATCTCCACTGGTACGACTTTGTGCAAAATGTGGGTGTGATTATGGATTGCACTAGTATTCACTGACATGAGATGCATTTGGTTGCAGGGGAAACGTTCTCCTTAGCCGGAATGATTCTGTTACGTTGGAGTTCAATCTTGAGGGGAAGAAAATGTTTGTCAAGACATTTGGATTAGTGGTGTCAATAATTGACTTCACTCTTTCAAGAATAAATACTGGTGCTTACTCTTTCCAATCTTTCCCACTCCTAAGAATTTACTCATGAATGTAAAGGATAAATTTGTTTCAAGTTTCGTATAGTTTAAGTTTAACAAACATGACGGATGCACAGGCGAAGACATACTCTTTTTGGACTTATCCTCAGATCCTGATCTCTTCAAAGGGCCAGCAAGAGATAAACAGGTAAGGACTTTGAATTAAGGTTGTTTGAGAAATTTTATCTATATGAAACGACGTAATTGAGTGTTCGTTTGGTTTTCAGTCAGAAACTTACCGGAAGATGAAAGAGGTAACAGAAGATTGCTGGGAGGAAAGGTATAGTTCAAAAAAATAATAAATGCATGGCTAGGATACACTAGATGTAATGTTGGTAAAGAATAATAATTAGGAAAACCAATATTTTGCAGTGTGGTGAATTCTTAATTAAGTAAATACTAGGAATTAAATTAGTGATCTTTTTCTTCAACAGACTTAAGCCCCTCCTTTTTTGAGGGACCTCAACATAGCCGCTGATAGACTCATGAACTTGTGAAATAATTTATTTATCATATGAAAGAAAGAGCCTGCCTTTCAGTTTTAGATTTTGTTCTGTCACTCAAGAAATAATAAAATATATTTTCATGGGAACATTCAGATTTGAAAGTTGCTATTGTTTTTGTGGAAAAGAATAAATGATTATATTTTATTAATCGCATTTACAAGAGCCTCTAATGGGCTATATATACACGGATAATGGATAAGAGATAAGAGGAGATAGAGACTTCTTAGAAGAGATATCCTAATATCCTAACTCGCTGTCATCCGAATCCCTAAATTCTAGGGATTAAGTGTTTTATCCAATTCCTAAAGTGTTTATCCCATCTCTAGCACGTATTTCCCACACTTCCCCTCAAGCTGGTGAATAGGTGTCCCTCATTCCCAGCTTGGTAGTAATTTCTTGGAAGGTAGCACTATTGAGTCCTTTTGTAAAAACATCTGCTAGTTGACTCTTTGTGGAGACGTATGGTGTGCAGATCAACCCGCTTTCTAGCTTTTCCTTGATGAAGTGCCTGTCTATCTCAACATGTTTAGTTCGGTCATGTTGGACCGGATTATGTGCAATACTGGTTGCTGATTTATTATCGCAGTAGAGTCTCATTGGTCCACTCCATTTAATCTTCAAGTCTTCTAATATAATTTTCAGCCACAACAACTCACAGACACCCTGCGTCATTGCTCTAAACTCTGCCTCTGCACTTGATTGGGCTACAACATTTTGCTTTTTGCTTCTCCATGTCACCAAGTTGCCTCCAAGGAATGTGCAATAACCTGAAATAGACCTCCGATCCATGGGAGAACCTGTGTAATCTGCGTCTGTATACGCTTCAAGAACGAGCTAAGTGTATCTTTTGAACATGATCCCCTTCCCAGGATTAGCTTTCAAATAATGGAGCTCTCGGTAGGTAGCTTGAAGAAGGTGAATCTCTTTGGGATTATGCATGAATTGGCTGATGCTCACTGAATATGCTACATCTGGCCCAGTGTGAGAAAGGTAGATGAGCTTCCCAACTAACGTTTGATACATTTCTCTGTCTACTGCTCGATCTTCAATAGCTTTTCCAAGCTTATGATTTGCCTCTATAGGTGTTGCGGCTGGCTTGCTTGCGAGCATTCCGGTTTCTCTGAGAAGATCAGTGACATACTTTTGTTGCGAGATGAGTATGCCTTGTCTGGAATGCGTGACCTCAATCCTAAGAAAGTATTTCAACCTCCCCAAATCTTTAATCTCAAATTCTTTTGATTAAACACTGTTTTAGGACGTGCTTGATGAAGAGGGTGTGGTCTCCTTGACTTTGCTTGTATCCAGTGGCTAACATTACCTTGGTAAACCTTCCAAACCAGGCACGGGGTGACTGTTTCAATCCATACAAAGCTTTCCTTAACTTGCATACATTGTCCCTTTCAACTCCTTCAAACCCGGGTGAGATGCTCATATAGATTTCCTCTTCTAAGTCCCCATGAAGGAAGGCATTCTTCACATTGTATTGTTGTAAGTTCCAATTAAAATTGGCAGCTAGTGATAGTAAGATCCTGACGGTGTTCATCTTTTCAACTGGCGCGAAGGTCTCTTGATAGTCAACCCTATATGTTTGGGTGTACCCCTTGGCAACTAACCTTGCTTTGTAGCGCTCTAATGATCCATCCGCTTTGAACTTCAAGGAGAAAACCCATTTACACCCCACTGCTTTCTTCCCTTTTGGAAGATCAACTAACTCCCATTTCCCATTTTTTTCTAATGCATCCATCTCGACTCTCATAGCTTTTCTCCATTCTTCCTTAGATAGTGCCTCAGACAAAGTGTTTGGAATAGCAGCTTCATTTAAACTTGTGAGGAAGTTCTTATGGGATGGTGAGAACTTTTTGAAGGATACAAAATGAGATATAGGGTATAGTGGTCAAAGGTTTGAGATTCTGGAGATGGGTGTTTGTTTTCTACAAGTAGGGGTGAAGTAGGTTCAGATATTGTTACCTCATTCTCAGAAGCCGGGTTGAAGATTTGAACTTGTGCTAATTCGAGAGTTGGTCCTTGTCGCCTTGAGTATGTCTTCCATTTTCCAAATTGTATATGATCAAGAGTCCTATTTTCAGGTGGTATTGGTGACACAACAGGATCAGGAGGTACCGGTTCCGTGTTTGAGATAGGTGATGTTGGATTTTGAGGATGGGAATGAGAAGGAGATGGTGAATCTAGAGAAATATGGAGAAGAAAGAATTATGAAATTATATTATTCGGTAGGCGTACAACATATCCTTAAATACTAATTACAGAGGAAAACTATTCTAGGAAAGACTAGTAAATATGGAATGTTAATTGCTGTACAAAATCAATCCTAACCACTACTTTCCTAATCTTCTTCAATTAGGCTCTTTGACTTAATCTCCTATGATCAGCCCAATATCTTCCATATTCGGTATAATTGATACCGAATATTCATATCTTCAACACTCCCCCTCAAGCTGGCTTGTAGATGTCTTCCATAGCTAGCTTGCTTATTAGGAATTCGAACTGTTTCTTCTGTAGTCCTTTTGTAAGTATATCAGCAGCCTGTTGAATGGTTGGTACATATGAAATGTAGATTAGGCCACTTTCGATTTTTTCTTTGATGAAATGCTTGTCAACTTCAATGTGCTTTGTTCTATCATGTAGAACTGGATTATGAGCTATTGAGTTGGCAGCCTTGTCACAATACACCTTTATAGGAATGGAACCGAGATCTTCAAATCCTCAAATAGCCTTTTGATCCATATTACCTCACAAATCCCGTGTGCTACGGATTTGAATTCAGCCTCGGCGCTACTTCTTGCTACGACATTTTGCTTTTTACTTCTCCAAGTTACTAGGTTTCCTCTAACAAAAGTGCAGTATCCTGAAGTTGATCATCTGTCAGTCGTGGGTCCAGCCCAATCCGCATCTGTATAGACTTCAACTTGTAGATTATTACTCTTCTTGAACATTAGTCCTCTACCAAGAGTTCCCTTCAAATACCTCAAAATACTGTAGGCTGCATCAAAATGCTCTTGTCCCGGTGAGTGCATGAATTGACTCACCATGCTTACAGCGAAAGCTATGTTAGGACGGTTATGTGACAAGTAGATTAATCTACGTACTAATCGCTGAAATTTCTCCCTATCAATTGCATCTTCTGGTTTTGCTGGAGTAAGCTTCAAGTTAGCTTCAATTGGAGTTTCAATAGTTTAACATCCTAGAAAACCTATTTCGCCGAGTAAATCAAGAATATACTTTCTTTGATTTACAACAATTCCTGCTTCCGATCTTGCAAATTCCATGGCAAGAAAGTACTTTAGTGTTCCCAAATCTTTGATCTTGAAGTCTTCTGCCAGTTTCTTCTTTAGTCTGGTCATCTCTTCAAGGTCGTCACCTGTTAAAATTATGTCATCCACATAAACAATTAGAATCACAAGTTTACCCCCTTCAGAGTGTTTGTAGAACATGGTATGATCTGCTTGTCTCTGATGATAGCCATGGTTTTTTACAGCCTTTCCAAAGCGTTCAAACTACGCTCTTGGAGACTGTTTAAGACCATATAAGGACTTCTTGAGTCTGCAGACTTTGTCTTGACCAAAACACTTTTAAAATCCAGGAGGTAGACTTATAAACACCTCTTCTTCCAGATCACCATTACAAAAGGCATGCTTCGTCTAACTGGTATAACGGCCAGTTGGAATTCACTGCAAGGGACAACAACACGGATAGAATTAATCTTGGCTACAGAGGCAAACGTTTCTTGGTAATCAATACCATAAATTTGTGTGAATCCTTTAGCCACAAGTCTCGCCTTATATCTCTCTATACTTCCATCGGCCTTGTATTTCACAGTAAATACCCATTTACAACCGACTGTCTTTTTACCTCTTGGTAATCCTCAATCACCCAAGTTCCACTTTTTTTAAGAGCATTCATCTCCTCTATCACTGCTAATTTCCAATCAGGATTATCAAGTGCTTCCTGGATGTTTCTCGGGACAAATAAGTTAGAGATTTTAGATGTATAGGCCTTATGTTTAGGAGAAAGTCTGTCATAGGACAAATAATTGGCTATTGGGTAATTGGTGCAGGAACGTTTCCCTTTTCTAAAGGCTATAGGAATATCAAGGTCATAAGGTTCTTGTACAGAAGACTCAATAGGAATGGCACATTAGTTGGTTCTAAAGAAGAAACAATATCAAGAGTACCTGGAGTATTTGTAGGTTCGGATCTCGGGGCATTAGATTGAGCTTGCACCAAGAGAATAGTAGGCTCTTTACTGTTCTTCCGAGTCTTCCTCCTTGAGTAAACCTGAAGCTCTAAGTTGCTCTTCTTAGGAATAGCTGGTAGTATTTCTCCCCATGTCGAAGTATCAACAATGCTTGGAAAAATAGATGTAGGAGTATCATCAAGGACATTATCATTAGGCGTTGTATCAACAATTTTAGGTAAAGAAGTAGAAGAAGGAATAACATCCCATCAATTTTCTTCTTTACTAGTTTCTCCCCCTGAAGAAAATTGTTTTTGAAAGTAAGGTTGATGTTCAAGGAATGAAACATCCATAATAACAAAAATTTTCTGAGTAATGGGATTGAAACATTTACATCCCCTTTTATTTGGAGCATAGCCTATAAAAACACATTTTTCAGCCATTGGATCAAGTTTAGACCTCCCTTTACTAGGTAAATGAACATAAGCCGTACATCCAAAAATTTTAAGGGGTAGATCCGACGAATACGAGTAGATGAAATTTTTTTTTTTCAAACTTTCAAGAGAAGTGCATAGTTTAA